AGTAGATATCATATTGCTGTGCACTTTTAGTTATGTTCTCCCTTTCTTTTTTATTTTATACTTTAAGTTCTGGGATACATGTGCAGAATGTGCAGGTTTGTTACATAGGTATACACATGCCATGGTGATTTGCTGCACCCATCAACCCATAATCTACATTAGGTATTTCTCCTAATGCTATCTCTCCCCCGGTCCCCGGCCCTCCGACAGGCCCCGAGGTTTGATGCCCCTCTCCTCCCACCTCTGTGTCCATGTGTTCTCATTGTTCAACCCCCACTTATGAGTGAGAACATGCGGTGTTTGGTTTTCTGTTTTTGTGTTAGTTTCCTGAGAATGATGGTTTCCAGCTTCATCCATGTCTCTGCAAAGGACATGAACTCATCCTTTTTTATGGCTGCATAGTATTCCATGCAGCCATGTAATCCACCACACCACATGGTGTATATGTGCCACATTTTCTTTATCCAGTCTATCATTGATGGGCATTTGGGTTGGTTCCAAGTCTTTGCTATTGTGAATAGTGCTGCAATAAACGTATGTGTGCATATGCCTTCATAGTAGAATGACTTATAGTCCTTTAGGTATATGCCCTGTAAAGGGATTGCTGACTCAAATGGTACTTCTAGTTCTAGATCCTTGAGGAATCGCCACACTGTCTTCCACAATGGTTGAACTAATTTATACTCCCACCAACAGTGTAAAAGCATTCCTTTTTCTCTACATCACCTCTAGCATCTGTTGCTTCCTGACTTTTTAATGATCACCATTCTAACTGGCATGAGATAGTATCTCATTATTGTTTTGATTTGCATTTCTCTAATGACCAGTGATGGTGAGCTTTTTTTCGTGTTTGTTGGCTGCATAAATGTCTTTTTTTGGGAAGTGTCTGTTCATATCCTTCAAGTACTTTTTGATGGAGCCATTTGTTTTTTTCGTGTAAATTTGTTTAAGTTCTTTGTAGATTCTGGATATTAGCCCTTTGTCAGATGGATAGATTGCAAAATTTTCTCCCATTCTGTAGATTGCCTGTTCACTCTGATGATAGTTTCTTTTGCTGTGTAGAAGCTCTTTAGTTTAATTAGATCCCATTTGTCAATTTTGGCTTTTGTTGCTATTGGTTTTGGTGTTTTAGTCATGAAGCCTTTGCCCATTTCTATGTCCTGAATGTTATTACCTAGGTTTTCTTCTAGGGTTTTTATGATTTTAGGTCTTAACATTTAAGTCTTTAATCCATCTTGAGTTAATTTTTGTAAAAGGTGTAAGGAAGGGATCCAGTTTCAGCTTTCTGTATATGGCTAGTCAGTTTTCCCAACATCATTTATTAAATAGGGACTCCTTTCCCCATTGCTTGTTTTTGTCAGGTTTGTCAAAGATCAGATAGTTGTAGATGTGTGGTGTTATTTCTGAGGCCTCTGTTCTGTTCCATTGGTCTATATATCTGTTTTGGTACCAGTACCATGCTGTTTTGGTTACTGTAGCCTTGTAAGTGTAATTTGAAGTCAGGTAGTGTGATGCTTCCAGCTTTGTTCTTTTCATTTAGGATTGTCTTGGCTATGCAGGTTCTTTTTTGGTTCCATATGAACTTTAAAGAATTGAAAAGTTTGTTCCAATTCTTTGAAGAAAGTCAATGGTAGCTTGATGGGGATAGCATTGGATCTATAAATTACTTTGGGCAGTATGGCCATTTTCACTATATTGATTCTTCCTATTCATGAACATGGAATGTTTTTCCATTTGTTTGTGTCCTCTCTTATTTCCTTGAATAGTGGTTTGTAGTTCTCCTTGAAGAGGTCCTTCACACCCCTTTTAAGTTATATTCCTAGGTATTTTATTCTCTTTATAGCAATTGTGAATGGGAGTTCACTCATGATTTGGCTCTGTTTGTCTGTTATTGGTGTATAGGAATGCTTGTGATTTAGCACATTGATTTTGTATCCTGAGACTTCACTGAAGTTGCTTATCATCTGAAGGAGATTTGGGACTGAGACAGTGGGGTTTTCTAAATATACAGTCATGTCATCTGCAGAGAGATAATTTGACTTCCTCTTTTTCCAATTGAATACTCTTTATTTCTTTCTCTTGCCTGATTGCCCTGGCCAGAACGTCCAATACTATGTTGAAAAAGGAGTAGTGAGAGAGGGCATCCTTGTCTTGTGCCTGTTTTCAAAGGGAATGCTTCCAGTTTTTGCACATTCAGTATGATACTGGCTGTGGGGTTGTCATAAATAGCTCTTATTATTTTGAGATACATTCCATCAATACCTAGTTTATTGAGAGTTTTTAGCATGATGGGCTGTTGAATTTTGTTGAAGGCCTTTTCTGTATCTATTGAGATAATCATGTGGTTTTTGTCATTGGTTCTGTTTATGTGATGGATTTTGTTTATTTATTTGCATATGTTGAACCAGCCTTGCATCCCCGGGATGAAGCCGACTTAATCATGCCACTATGATCAAGCTTTTTGATGTGCTGCTGGATAAGCTTTTTGATGTGCTGCTGGATTCAGTTTGCCAGTATTTTAATAAGGATTTTTTGAATCCGTGTTCACCAGGGATATTGGCCTGAAATTTTCTTTTTTTGTTGTGTCTCTGCCAGATTTTGTATCAGGATGATGCTGGCCTCATATAATGAGTTAGAGAGGATTCCTTCTTTTTCTATTGTTTGGAATAGTTTCCGAAGGAATGGCACCAGCTCCTCCTTTTACCTCTGGTAGAATTTGGCTGTGAATCCGTCTGGTCCTGGACGTTTTTTGGTTGGTAAGCTATTAATTACTGACTCAATTTTAGAACTTGGTCTATTCAAGGATTTGACTTCTTCCTGGTGTAGTCTTGGGAGGGTGTATGTGTCCAGGAATTTATCCCACAATAATAGTGGGAGACTTTAACACCCCACTGTCAATATTAGACAGATCAATGAGACAGAAAATTAACAAGGATATACAGGACTTGAACTCAGCTCTGGACCAAGTGGACCGAATAGACATCTACAGAACTCTCCACCCCAAATTAACAGAATATACATTCTTCTCAGCACCACATTGTACTTATTCTAAAATTGGCTGCATAATTGGAAGTAAAACACTCCTCAGCAAATGCAAAAGAACAGAAATCATAACAAACAGTCTCTTAGACCAGGGAACAGTAAAATTAGAACTCAGGATTAAGAAATTCACTCAAAACCGCACAACGACATGGAGACTGAACAACCTGCTCCTGAATGACTACTGGGTAAATAATGAAATGAAGGCAGAAATAAAGATGTTCTTTGAAACCAATGAGAACAAAGACACAAGGTACCAGAATCTCTGGGACACATTTAAAGCAGTGTGTAGAGGGAAATTTATAGCACTAAATGCACACAAGAGAAAGGAGGAAAGATCTAAAATCGACACGTTGTTCTCCCTTTTTTCTTAGTTGTATGGTCACTAAGCCATTAACTACATTTTCTGGCTTTCTTTGAAGCTAGGTGTGGCCATGTGACTAAATTCTCACTAATGGGATGTGAGGATAAGTATGGCTGTATGCAACTTCTGGATTATGTTCTTCAAAGTCCTTGCCATGTATTTTCTACCCCCTTTCCTTCCCTTTATCTGGAAATGGTATGACTAGAACAGAAGGAGGCCCTAAGTTGAGCATAGCAGAGCTGTCTCACTAGCCTGGGAACCTGGATGACATAATGGAGCAGAGACCACCTATTTGTTCTCAAGAGTTACATGAGAGAGAAAAGAAGTGTACATCATTCGAGCCAATAATTTTGGCATCTCTTTGTATAAAGTCAGAAAAATAAAAGCAGCTTAGCTTTTATTGTAATTCAAATGATTTCAAAAGTCTCTATAATCAATGAAACTACTGGTGTCTATAAACCAAAGAGGAAGGATGCAAAGGGAATAAGCATAAGTATATATTTAAAGAGGAAAGATCTTTAGAAATTAGACAGGTACAAAAGGTTTTATTCTCTCTCTCTAGATATGTGTGTATGTATTTATATGTGTGTGCATATATACACACATACACACATATACATATATAACACTACATAATTATCTGTAATATTTTTTATATATATTAATATATATAATTTTGTTATATATAGTTTAATATATACAATTTTATTATATATTAAAATTTTACTTTAAAATATAATTGTATTTTAATATATGTAAAATTTTAATATACATACAATTTTAATATGTATACATACACATACACATATATAGCACTACATAATTTGTAGTATTATTTGATTTTTCATAAATAGAGGTAGAGATATGTAAAATCAGTGGGTAGCTTATTGAGAAAAAATAATTTTTTTAAAAAAATTATATTTTAATATGGTTGTCTGACATCTGGGCACTGAGAGCAACTGGAATCCCCCAAATACATTCTTTTAGAGTACTAAAAGGTATGGTTTGAAAAGATATGTTCTTAGATCGAAAAAGTTTAAAAGCTGCATAGACTCTTTAAAAGAGTGCTTTTTATAGTTTTGTATTTGTTAATCTTTAACTGTGTGTCTCCAGGAGGGAATTTCTTTCCCACAGAATACGTAATGGGACCAATATTTTGTGTTATGCAATGCTGCTTTAAACAAAAGAGTGAAGCCATGCTGAGATACTCTGGTTCATAATGAGCTAAAAATATCCATCATGTTAATCCAGGTTTCTTCACAGAACTCTTCTCTGCCCTGCCCCTGGGAGACATCTAAACTCTCAGACTGATGTTTGGCCCTGGCAGAAGCTCAGATACCTTATCTGACCCGACCCAGGTATGACCACAGCTCACACTTGCCTTGCAAGAGAAGAAGTTGTTACCAGTTTGATTTCAAATGCTCACCTTGTGGGATTTCAGCCTGCATGAGACACTCCGTGTAAAAATGGCAAAACTCAAGGGAATTCATTATTTACATTAATGAAAATGTTTGTTAACATTTTACTTTTCAAAATATGGGTAGTAATGGTTTGATTTGGGAGGTATGATCAGTCTTGATGCTGCTTTTCATTTTAGAGTCTCGAGTCCCTGTGACAAAGCTGTAGCTGGAACCTGAAAGTGAAGCAGCCTGCTGTTCCCAAGAACAAGCGCATGCAAGAGATGAGGGATACTGCGAGAAAGTTAGCTTTTCTTTAGAAATGCCCAAGTTCCCTTATGGAAAACAGCTTCTTCAATCAAAAATGAAATCAAAAGACAAAATCAACCAAGGGTAAGGAGGAGAGAAACATCCACAGTTGCCAGCACAAAAGCAAAAGAGAAATCGATAGAGATATGGAGGAGAAAATGTACAAAACTGCCAAAGATGAGGTACCCAGACATGAATGATGAAGCTCCAGACTTTTCTCTGCTGGCCGCCTTCTTATGGCCCAGGAACACCTGCATGAAATGAACTAAAACTCACAATTTAAATAATAACGATAGCAAGAGAAGTAGAAATGCCAAGTGAGAACTCTCCCAGGAAACTTAAGCTAGTATAGCAACTCCTGATAATTTTACAATACCTTACACTGTGCAAATATACAGTCTATTGTTGTTACCTTGAGCTTGCAGTTAGATTCAGTGTGAATCTCCATCCACCCCCAAATGCTGGGATTTGACTTATCATGTACTCTATCAATGAAATGGGGTAATGTTTGTACCACCAACATTTTTATAAGAATATTGTGAGGATAAAATTAAGAAGTTCAGAAAAAACACTCAGCATGTAACGATCAATTAGTAAATATTACTAGTTTTTGTTGTGTTTACAAACATTTATATCCTTTGTCACACATTCTTCTTCATAGTACTATGGTATTTTGGTAACATTATCTCTTCCATTTAGATAACTATGCTAATAATCAAAAAGGTTAACCTAATCAAAGTCACAGAACTTCCAAGATAACTCAAATGTGGGTTTCCTAATTGTGAGTTCAATGTTTGTCTTTCCTCTTTACTACGTCATGGCCATTTTCAGACCAAAATTTAGAGATCTAATGTACAGCAAGAGGACTGTAGTTAATAATGTACTCTATACCAAAAGTTCACCAAGAATAGATTTTAGAAACATATGTGCGCGTGCACACACACACACACACACACACACACACACATAACTATCAAAGTGATGAATTTGTGAATTTGTTTGTGGTAATCATTTCATTATGTATATCTATTTCAAAACACATGTTATACACCTCAAATGTATACAATACAAAATGAATGTGATTAATTCAGTGATTTAAGTTAAAGCTTACTGTGATTATTAATTTTAATGCAAAATACTTTGTTTTAAAAATTCTTTTTAAAATTTTTTCATTATAAAGCTCTAAACTAAGTACCCTGCCAGATATTGATTGTAACAGAAATTCCCACATTTGGGTGATCCTTTTGATAGTCCCATCTACAGGTAAGTTCTCAGGCTAGACATATTTTTTATAGTTCAGTGGATTTAAGATTGGAATAACTGGCTAGCCATATGCTGAAGAATGAAGCTGAACTCTACCTTTCACAATATACAAAAATTAACTCGAAATGCATCAAAGATTTAAATGTAAGACTTCAAACTATAAAAATGCTAGGAGAAAACTTAGGAAATACTCTTCTCAATACTGGCATTGGCAAATAATTTTTGGCTAAGCCCCCAAAAGCAACTGAAAACAAAACAAAAATTGAGAAGTGAGACCCAATTAAACTAAAGAGCTTCTGCACAGAAAATAAAACTATCAACAGAGTAAATAGACAACCTACAGAATGGGAGAAAGTATTTGCAAACTATGCATCTAATGAAGGCCTAATATCAGGAATCTATAGAGAACTTAAATCAGCAAGCAAACAAACAAGGAAAAAACACAACCCCACAAATAGCTTCATTAACAAAATGGGCAAAGGACATGAACAGGCATCTCTCAAAAAAAAAAAAACAAGTAGCCAATGAACATGTTAAAAAAAAGCTTAGTATCACGAATCATCAGAGAAATACAAATCAAAACCACAATGAGAGACAATTTCACATCAGTCAGAATTACTATTACGAAAAAGCCAAAAAACAATAGATGCTGGCAAGGCTGCAGAGAAAAGAGAATGCTTATACACTATTGGTAGGAATGTAAATTAGTTCTGTCACTGTAGAAAGCAGTTGGAGATTTCTCAAAAATTAAAACAAGGCTATCATTTGACCCAGCAATCCCATTACTGGCTATATACCCAAAGGAAAATAGATCATTCTACCAAAAAGACACATGAGCTTGTATGTTCACCACTGTGTTATTCAAAATAGCAAAGATATAGAATCAACTTAGGTGCCCGTCAGTGGTTGATTGGAAAAAGAAAATGTGGTACATATATACCACAGAATACTACACAGCCATAAAAAAAATAAAATAATGTCCTTTGCAGCAACATGGGTGCAGCTGGAGGTCATAATCCTAAATGAATTAACACAGGAACAAAAAATCAAATACCACACGTCCTCACTTAAAAGTAGGAGATAAAACTTGAGCACACATGGAAATAAACATAGGAATAATAGACACTAGGGACTACTAGAGTGGGCAGGGGGTGTGAATTGAAAAACTATCTATGGATTACTATGCTCACCTGGCTGATAGGATCATTCGTACCCCCAAACTTCAGCATCACTCAATATACCCATCTAACAAACCTGGACGTGTACCTCCTGTATCTAAAAGTTGAAGAAAAAAGTAATCAGAAAAATAAGAAGAGAAAGTTGTATTCATAAGTTTTTAGCTAAGAATATTGTCTTTGGTGGAATCTATAAACCCCAAATTCTAGTGTTTCATTTAGATTATTAAAAGATCCATAATGCAATTCACAAAGTGAAATTTGTTAGCAATCTGAGGGCATCACAGAAACAGCTGTGGTTTCTTTTTACTAAAATTTAAGTATATTAAAGTCTTTCAAATACACAGAAAACTAACCAACTTCCTATACATACCACCTGTATTAAAAAGAAGCTTATGATTATCACATTACATTGAAGTTGGTGTGTCTTTCCCATTCATCTTTTAATCTTTTTGTACATATGTATCAAAGGTAAATAATATATAGTATGAGTCTTGTATTTTAAAATTTCATACCTATGGAATCATATTGTAAGTATTATTCTGCAACTTACTGTTTATAATTGGCAAATAATAATTATGCATATAAGGTATAATGTGATGTTTTAATCTATACATATATTGTAAGAAGACTGAGTTAAGCTAATTAATATAACCATCACCTCACCAACTTATTTTTTGTGGGGAGAATGTTAACAATATATTCTTTTAACAATTTAAAAATACATAACACATTAATTGTGATCTCAATGCAATGCAATAGATCACCAAAACTTATTCCTCCAATCCAAGACTTTGTACCATTTGATCAATATCTTCTCTATTCCATTTCTCCTCTTCCTCATCCCTCAGCCTCTGGTAACTAACATTCTGCTTTCTGTTTCTATGAGATAGATTCTTTAATTTTAAAGTCTGTCTATAAGATAGACTTAATATTCCACACATAAGTAAAATCATGCAGTATTTGTCTGTATCTGGCTTATTTCACTTTGCATAATATCCTCTATGTTTCTTAATGTTGTCACAAATGACATAATTTTCTTTCTTTTTAAGGCTGACTCATGTTCCAGTGGCATCACAGAAACAGCTATGGTTTCTTTTTATTAAAATTTAAGTACACATATTATACATTCTACATTTCCCCTGCCATTCATCTGTTGATGGACACTTTCGTTGCTTCCATAGCCTGGCTATTATGAATAACAGTGCAATGAATATGGTGATGCAGACTTCTCTCTGACATAACAATTTCAATTCCTTTGTGTATATACCCAAAACTAAAATTGCCAGATTATTTACTAATTCCATTTTTAGTTTTTAAAGGAATCTTCATACTGTTTTCCAAATTGCTGTACTAATTTACATTCATCAATAGTATACAAGGGTTCTCTTTTCTCCACATTCTTGTCAACACTTATTATTTGCATTTTTGATATTAGCCACTCTAACTGGTGTGAAGTGGTATCCTGGTTTCAATTTGTATTTCTCTGATTAGAGATGTTGAACATTTAAAACATATATTTTAACATCTCTTCTTTGAAGAAATGTCTGTGTAGATTCTTTGTCCACTTTATAACTGGATTATTTGTTTTTTTTACTATTGAGTTGTTTGAGTTCCTTCTATATTTTGGTTTATTAGCCTCTTATAAGATACATGGTTTGCAAATATTCTTTCACAATCTTGGTATGGTATCTACACTTTGTTAATTGATTCCTTTGCTCTACAGAAGGTTTTTCGTTTAAGGCAGTCTCATTTGCCTGTTTTTGTTTTGTTGCCTGTGCTTTTGGACTCCTATCCAAAAACAATCACTGACTGGACCAGTGTTGCAGAGCTTTTTCTATGTGTTCTTCTAGTAACATAACAGTGTCAGATCATACATTTCAGCCTTTTATCTATTTTGAGTTGATTTTTGTATACAGTGTGAGATAAAGATCTAATTTTATTATTCTGCATGTGGATATATAGTTTTCCCACCCCCATGTATTAAAGAGGTGTCCGTTCCTCATAGTATGTTCTTGGCACTTTTGTCAAAAATCAGTTGACTGTAAATACCTTGGTTTATTTCTGGGCTTTATATCTTGTTCTATTAGTGGAAGTGTTTTTTGTTGTGAGGGTACCAAGCTATTTTGATTACAATAGCTTTGTGACATATTTTGAAATCAGGAAGTGTGATGCATCCAGCTTTGTACTTTTTGATCAAGATTACTTTGAATATTTAGAGTCTTTTCTTGATTCCATATGAGTTAGAATTATTTCTTTCTCTTTCTGTAGAAAATGATATTGGGATTTTGATAGGAATTACATTGAATCTATAGATAACTTTCAGTAGTATGGACATTTTAACAATATTAATTCTTCCAATCCATGAACATGGAATATTTTCCCATTTATTTGTGTCTTCTTCAATTTCTTTTCTCAAAGTTTTGTAGTTTTCAGTGTACAAATCTTTTACTTCATTAAATTTTCTCCTAAGTCTTTTATTTTGTTGATACTATTATGTGGAATTTTTTTAAATTTATTATTTCGATTGCTCATTATTCGTGTATGGAAACACTACTAAATTTTGTCTGTTGGTTTTGTAACTTACAGTTTTACTGAACTTATCAGTTCCAATAGTTTTTCCAATGAAATCTTTAGAGTTTTTTTATATATAAGATTATGTCCATATCTTTCCAGCAAACAATGACAATTGCACTTCTTCTTTTGCTATATGAATGCCTCTTATTACTTTTTCTTGCTTAATTGCTCTGGCTAGGATTTCTAGTACTATATTAGATAGAGGTGGCGAGAGTGGGCATCTTTGTGTTGTTCCTGATGTTAGAGGAAAAGCTTTTGATTCTTTACCATCAAGAATAATGTTAGCTGTAGCCTTGTCATACATTACCTTTATTATGTTGAGGTATTTTCCTTATATAGCTATTTTTGAGTATTTTAATCATAAATTAGTGATTTATGATTAAATATAAATCATAAATGAGT